GAAGAATATTAAGATTCCCCAAATTCACTGAGATTTTGAATATCTATACATTTGTTTGTATTGTGCACAGACTGATTCTGTTTTTTCCCATTTTTTTCAGATTTTTGCCAAGAAAGTGGCTTAGGAACATCTACAGAGAATTGCAAGGCAGGAGATAACTTTATAGTCGCATTGTTCAACCTTTTCAGTTGCCTGAATAATGTTCCCAAGGCCTTGACTCAGGCCTTTCAACCATACCTGGAGAGAGTACACATATGGGAATATCTTTACACACTGGCAGGTAAAGTAGCAGCTAGCTGATGTGTAATGTTGTGATTCTAGGGTCAATACTACAGACTAACATTAATCAATCATCTTCCAAGATACTAAGACGTTGTTTCATGCTTAGATAACAGGAAATTACAGTTGCTCATTTGGAGGATTGACCACATTTTTTGACATTGCATACACGTGAGTTAAAGCATGACTTTAATATGCTGTTACAGAGGCTGCGATAACTTCCCAAGTTCTTCTTTCTTTCCGCCTCTTACTGTGTGCAAGCTTTCACACAGAGGTTAATCAGAACTCCTGTGGAGTATGGAGCCTTTTTTTGTGGTGATTTTTATATCCTGGGTGAGTGGTAATTATTGCGGTATAAATTAGGGCGATTGGAGAAGTGTATTTGGATGAAGATGGAGCAAAGGAGGGGTCGACCGAAGGAAAGAATGAACAAGAGATAGAGCAAGCCAGAAAGAGAATTCTCAATGTCATCCAATCATCATTTATCCTCATAGGGTAATTAGTTTAATTATTGGATTGTGCCAGATCTTTGTATTATAATTTTGGTTACAGGATACCCCTGGTGCCCCCATTTCTATTTAAACTGTTCACTGAGTTAACTTTCACTGTTTCTCCACTTACAGTGATGTTTCACCGCACTGTAGTTGGTTGTTTCAAATCAATAGACTAGTCAGTAAAGTGGCAGGCGGTATAAAGTCTGAAAATCCAAGTGACTTTGAAAAATAGGTCTAGGTCTCACCTGCCACAGTGCACTCCTTTGAAAAGCTATATCATTTTCTGTTCCCGCTCCCTCTCTTTCCTTGGGTCTGAGGTCACACATTTGTTAGGCATCCCTGGAGAGTTCAATACACTTCCAGCGCCGTCACAGTACTATAGCTCTCTGATGTAGCCTTTGGTTTTATAGCCGACGTTATAGGAAGTTTATGAGTGCCATACAAATTTATGCTGTAGCTGCTCTGCTATCAGTATGAGTAGGATGTGAATGGGCAGAATGATGAAAGAAACAGTGCACCTGGAGAAGGTAGTAAGATTTCTACTGCCAGGCCACCTGGGTTTGATCGTGAACATCTGAATGTTACTTGATATCACTTGCTTTTAGTGTAGATAATTCAACAGTACTTGTCTGCTTAGTTCATTTTCCCCAGTTGATTTCTGTTCATTGATTAAACCAACTAGTCACTCTGTCAGTTGGTTGTCTCAAGAATAATAATAATAAAAAAAGCTGACGTTACAATCAGGGATTTCAGTTTCTTACTCTCATTTTATACTGTTATTTGTGTTGCAACCAACTGGCCATAACCTTAATTTTAGCTACATTTACATTACAGGCCTTAATCCTCAGTTCTGGTCTTGTTTCCAAATCTGTTTTTTTATGTTGATAGTTCAAAATCTTGTTTGTGTTCACACATTTGAGATAAGATCAGATTTTAGTCACTTGGAGGGAGAAAAAAAATTGGATTTAGGCCACTTCAATGTGTGAACACAGCCTTTGTGGTTGTTCTTGCACAGCTCATTTTTATCCTTTTTTAATTTAATTTTAAAATCAGTGGTAGATAGAATTAGTAAGGTCTTAAGTCCTGAAGTTGATATTCTTTCAGCCACCCTTCTTTACCTGCTGCATAAATTTTATTTTTGACAGACACAACACAGACAGTACCTGTAGTGATCAGCTGTGTCAGGGCTATAATCACCAAGGCGACCAACAGCATCCTAGTACACCTGGTCTCCATGGTGATGGACTGGCAGGCCACACAGGAGCCCAGTGGAGCCTTGTTCAAGTGGAATATACCAGAGAGTGTCCTGGCTAAAATACCCAAGGAGTGGAACTACATGCCCCTGGAAGCACAGGGAAAGGAGACTGCCACTGAGAGTGAGCACAGACTGGGTGTCACATGGGGGTCAATGCAACTGAGGTTTTAAAAACTTAGGAGTTGCTCCAAAACTAACAGCTAACACTTCTTTGTCTTTCAAGGTATCATATCCCAAGTCACTCAAGCCATGTCCTTCATTTTCACCAACCTGCCCTTTGCTGTAGCATCGGTGCCTCTCCCAGTTCGCTTCCTATTCCAAGAAGCAGAGGTGCACCTCTCCCAGCATTCCCTGCAGTTGCATTTGGTGGGCCTGTTGCTTTGGGCCATACTAGGCTACCTGATCCAGGGCTTGGAGGATGTGGACACATTAGAGCAGATCAGTGGTCTGGCCTTGGACCGTGGGGCAAAAGACCGCCTGTCCCTGCTGGCTGAATGCCTACAGGCTTCCATAGGCATTCAACACAAAGTAACGTCTTAGTGCTCAAAACAAGTCTTTACACATTATACACAGTATGTTTTAAAACACTGATATTATCATTTAATCATATTGATGGTTGATTTGATGTCAGCCCTGAGTTTATTTTCTTGCTCATTTACCTCTGCTGTTTGTGGTGTTTCTGGCAGGATGTTCCCAACCCCACAGTGCACAAAGTGCTGCAGGTTCTGGAGGAAAAAAGAGCCAAATGGACAACCATACAGCTACAGAAGGCCCGGAAGCTCTGTTCAGATAGGTGAGATGTCAACATCAGGGATTTAGAAAGAGGTCAAGGTTAGCATTGATGTAGATTATATAGTTTTTATGCATTTTGGAAAGTGCTATACATGGATTGCCCATCATTAGTTTCAGTTGGTACTAATTGTTTATGTGCACCTTCAATAGAAAATTAGTTATTTTATTCTGATCATTCTGACCATAGAAACTGCTTTTTAGAAAATGAACTCTCCAGTACATCATTTTAGTAATTTATCAATAGTAAGTTGGAGGTTGAGGGCTGATGGACTTATGGTGTATTCAGCTATTCACATTCAATATAGATAGCCTACTGAATAAAACAATGAAAATGAATGCAGCTTAGATTTGTTTTTTTTTTTAAACTGAGCACTCAAATTCTGATGTATTATATCAACAAGATCATTTTTTATTGAAAAGCTTTATGAGTAAGATAATGAATCTCAGATGCTTGTTGTGGTAAATGATGGGCATGCTCTCTGACTGACTAGACTGTGGGCTGGAGTGATGGGAAAGCATCTTTCACTTTGGGCCAATATGTGACCTTTGATGTTGCGTATGAAGCTTGTTCCCAGAAACTGCGTCTCTGGTCACTCATTTCATCATAACAAACTCTTGATACATCAATCCTCATAAAAAGGTGATTCAGTGCCGTAACACAGCAAGTGCAATTTAAAAAGGAATGAAATAAATAAAATAATATAAGACACTGAGTAGATTATGGGCAGTTCTAGGAAATGCTCTCTGTTTCAGTAACAGTAAGAAGAGACAGGATTTTGGGGGGGGGAGAAGAGACAGGGCGGTGCAGGGTTTGGGAGGGGGACAAGTGAAAGAAGAGTGATTATGTATCACCTGTCAGAGGCATTCAGAGCGATCATTACTATTCATTAAACTAACCTTCACAGGGAAGTGACGCCTGGCTTGTAAACAATCAGAGTACAGTGTCAGAAGGAGAGAGAGAGGGCGAGAGAGAGAGCGGTGGATGTACTGTAATAACTCCAAAAACAACTGGCACTTCACTTACTGGCATCTCACTCATGCACCCACATACACACAGTGTAACACCTTCTACAAAGAACATTTGCCTCTTATAAGCCCTACCACCTCTGTTCCCTCATCCCACTTTCCCTTCCTCCTTTCCCAACAGTAACCCCCTCCCCTCACATCACCCACCTTGTCTTTGCAAAGTAATTTGTAGAGGAGAAGATTATTGTTCTCCATCATGGTGACCCTGGCTGGGCTGACGGGATGCATACACAGATGAAGATGAATGCAGTTATTCCTTGGCGGAGGTCTGCCTCTTTCAGGGCACATTGGCCCTAATGACATGATTGATAGGCTGTCCCAAATCCGGAGGGGCTCTCATTAATCACCCTGCTGACTGAATCCAATCATCTGCTTCACCTGCACAGTGATGGACAGGAAAGGATACAGCGCAGGTGCTGACACGGATGCACAGCCACCATTGCCAACAACACTACTGCTGGGCGGCCAAGTAAAAGAATGAAGGGACATATATGGACAGGATGAGACTCCTCTTGCTTTGCTTCTCTCAATGTCAAGCAGCCAATGGCTGGCTGACAAGTGACACTGTTTCTGCCACCTTATAATTACAAAGGGGAAAAGAGCAAGAGAAGGAGAGAGAGAACCATGACAGGAAGTGTATGTGAAAGAGAAGATTTGATGGACGGTAGTGTGATATCCATCCATACAGGAAGGGCAGGAAAATGATGGAGGCATCTGCCAGGGTTGGAGACTGTACATGCATGAGGACCTTGACACACAATTACATACACACATAAACACTTAAGAAGACACACCCCAATCTTTTTTTAATACAGCAGCATCCTTCGGTCAAAATGTTCCCCTCTCTGTCTCATAATGGTAATCAAAACTGTGAAAGTCATTTTGTTATTTAACCCTCGACAACATGTCTGTTTTTCACTCACTTTCACCCTGGTTACCTTTGACTGTACCGCTCGGTTTTTAGACAGATACTGAGGCACATAATATTTCATTCCTTGCCAGAATTAAAATGTCAGTTACTTTGGCCTCTGGAGTGAATGATTGCTCTAAAGAACTAAAAAAAATTATTCTTTTTAAACTCGGACACTGGGAGTAAGTTAATTTTCTTCTGTATAGCATATTCCAAATTTTATCCCAAATTCCTCTCTAAACTAGACCATTCTTCCTCAGCTAGTGGTGGTATTCAGAAAGGAGCTTACACTTCCCTCATTCCTGTTTCCTCTCCTTTCTTTTTGCCACACTCTGTTCTCCCTGTCATTGTGTATTCTCACCCATCTCCTTCTTTTCACATCTCTGTTTCTGTTTCTCTCTCAGTGTATTTGAGCAAGGAAAGGGAAGCGGAGACGCTGCAGCTGAACTGACTGAGCAGAAAATAGGCCTGATGCTGCTGGAGGTCTGCCACAAAGCAGGTGGCAGCGACTACCTGAGGCAGATCTATCACATCATCCAAGGCAATGAGGTAGGGAAGCACTCCCTCTCCCCAGCAATTAGGTGGCTGCTGGCCTGAGGCCGCAGGCTGTTCAGGAGGGGGAGACAGAGGGAAGAGGGTTGCTGCTTGTGTGCAGACTGCTTGTTCTGATCTTCTGTTGTTCAGGTGACCTCGAGGGTACAAACCTACTGTGATTTCCTGTGTTTTATGCTCACCAGATGTAGAGGAGAGGGAGCCACATGGAGCTCTTAGATTTGGTATAGCGCTTTTTGGAAGAGATCAGAGGGAGAAACAGCAGTCATGCTGTTTCCTTTTTTCTAACTCAAGTGGAAGTTATTTTAGCTGATTTTACTTAAGAAAGTTTAAGAAAATGAAGAGTAGCAGGTCTCTAGAAAGGGCTCAAGTTAGTGTGAATAAATATATAATGTATCGAGAAAGTTTAGTGATATTTTTCTTTTCGTTTGATCAAAAAAGTGAGAGGGGGCTTTCCATTAGTAAAAAGTACATAGCACGTGTTATGTATAGCACCTGAAGTTGTTTAACTGGTTCCATAACACATTTCAGGGAGGCCAGTTGGCATTTCTTCTCTAGAGAAAATAAAACGGAAACATCATCCACCTACTCTACACTACATATATAACAGCCTGCTGCTACTGTATATCAACATACACATAAAATGGATTCCAGGAAGACATCATATAGTGATTTATAATAATAATTATGATAATTGTGACATTACATAAAAGCATATACAATAGTACATACAGAAGTCAACATTTTCATATGCTTGCACCACTTCTCCACACTCAGCTGGGCACCCATGAAAAATCCTCCATTGCTTGGCCAGTTATATTAATACACAGTAGAGGACCTGCAGTGGTCATCCCATCTTAGTATATATACAAAAGGTATAAGTGCATAACAAAGTTGTCTAAAGTGCTGCAGTAGGAGAAGCTACCCTTGGTCAGTGCTTCTTACTGACATGGCACTCCTATAACTTATCCATTAGGACATAGCGTGGAATAACACAAACATAATTGCCCCATACATTATGCCACTGCTGCTGGAATCTATGAAATGTTTTAACTTGCTTAGCAGTTTGAGAGAATGTGAATGGGATTCCCAAGCCTCCTGGCAGCTCAAGTATCTCTACCCACCCAAGGTCATGACAAGAACACGTAGGTCAGGGACAGACTGGGCTGGTGGTGAGATGGAGTGAGAGGAGGTTTGGAGGCCATGTCAAGCTGACAGATGGGACTATAGTGAATTCACACCAGGATGCCCCTGTATACACAAACACATATCAAGACATACTGTGCACACAGTCATTACTTTACCCTGTACATCTTGCTAGACACCTCCACTAAGGTTACGGAAACAAAAGTAGAGTCTATTGGTGTCCTGAAATCCCCTCTTGTTCTCTACATTGACACACATTATCTATCATTATCTATTTGATCAGTGCTTTCACAGCTATTTCTGAACAGCTGTGATTAATCTCCACTTTTGTGAGACTGATCAGTAAGGGAGTATGTGGATAGAGACCATTCTGCCCGTACCAATGCTACTGCAGGCTGGAGAAAGTGCAGCTTAGTTTATTCTTTCAGTCAAACTGGTTGTCAGTTAAAAACACATCTTCAAAGGTTTATTATCATTATTGCAAAAAGACCTGCTATAACAGAAATGTTCCAAATGTAAAGTTCACTACATGGTGAATGTCCTTGTGCATAATCTGTTGCATTTTCAGTTTGAGGAAGTTTATTTAATGTTTAGATAACTGTTTGGCCTCTCTTTGTTGGTTTTAGTTTGTCTTTACAGAATATTTCTGTCAGTCTGTCAGTCACAGTATTTCTTTTTAGACGTCTCT